CTGGCGCAGTCAGTAGAACATGTGACTCTTGATCTCAGGGTTTGAGTTCAAGCCCCACACCAGGCATGAAGCCTACTACTACTACTACTACTACTACTACTACTACTACTACTAAGGTCTTCTCAGTGCTGTCAGATGGAGGTTGAAGTTCAGGTTTCCTGCTCAGCTTCTGTTGACACCCTGGGAAGTGGGAATTGGTGGGGTACCTAGTTCCTGCTGGGCCAGCGTGGGAATTCAGACCGCCCGGGAGCCCCTGCTGATCCCACCCTGGCCTGGGGGGAGGGGCCTCCGTACTGCCCCCTTGTGGCCTCCACGGACATGGGGAGGCGCACAGGGCCTCGGCCGTGGGGAAGATCTGGACTCTCCGCCGGCCTCTTGTGACACCGCCCTGCGTGGACGTCTAGGGTCCCCGTTGGGCTTGGCGGGGAGGGTATAGGTGGTAGTGTCGTTCTTTCTACGGTGTTTGTGGCTGGAGTAGAGTGATTATTATCTAAGAGTTTTCTTTCCTTGCTAAGCTGCCCCTTGCTAGTCCTTTGGCTAAAAAGAAAGAGGAAGCCCTTTTTTCTCTCTCTTTTTTTTTATCAGTACCGATCAGCTCCTGGGTTGCTGGCTTCTCCGATGCTCAGTCTGTGATACATAATGCGAACAGAAAACCCTGGGAATCCCCACCCTGCCATTCTGTGGGTCCCAAGGTTCCTCAGCCAGGCTGCCTTCTTTCCACCTTTCAGAGTCTTCCTTATGTTTATTTTAGTAAGTCCAGGTTTTTTTTTAACAGTATTTAACAGAAAGGATAGGGAGATGTGTGTTTACTCCATATTTTCCCAGAACCAGGAGTCCCCGGGGCCTTTTAGACAATTTATTCTGCATGCTCTGGCATGCCGCAGCCAGTGGCGACGAATTTCCCCCGAACTGAGGGTGACTTCACCCGCCCGCTGCCAGCACAATGGCCCAATGTGTTCTGCTCTGTGATTCCAAGTTCACCTCCTAGAATGTGAAACCGCTCCAGCCTGGTCTGAACAGGCGCTCACCAGCTTCCCGCCCCTTGCCTCTTCTCAGCTCCGCGACTCAGAGGCCCCGAAGAGGCCTCCCTGCTGAAGGCAAGAAGGGTATTCACGTCGTCCTGGCTCGGCTGAGGGGCCGTGGTCCCTCCCCCCCCCCCCCCCCCCCCCCCCCCCGCTATGAACCAAGGCTTTCAGTACAGCGGCTAGGGAGGCGCAGCCTTCTCTTCCAGGGCCCGGGGCCGGGTCCAATGCCGCGCCATTCGTGACAGTCCCTTTTAGGGGCGCCTGGGGGGCTCAGTCGGTTGAGTGTCCGACTTTGGCTCAGGCCATGATCTCACGGTTCCTGAGTTCGAGCCCCGCGTCAGGCTCTGTGCTGACAGCTCAGAGCCTGGAGCCTGTTTCAGATTCTGTGTCTCCCTCTCTCCCTGCCCCTCCCCTGCTTGCTCTCTGTCTCTCTCTAAAAACAATAAGCATTAAAAAAAGAAAAAGAAAAGAGAAACTCCCGTTTAAAATAAAGTTAAAGAAAAATATTTTGAGTTAAAATAGTCTTGGTAGGGGCGTCTTGGTGGCTCAGTTGGTTGGGCGTCCAACTTTAGCTCAGGTCATGATCTCATGGTTCTTGGGTTCCGGCCCCACATCAGGCTCTGTGCTGACAGCTCGGAGCCTGGAGCTGCTTCAGCTTCTGTGTCTCCCTCTCTCTCTGCCCCTCCCCTGCTCATGCTCTGTCTCTCTCTATCTCTCTCAGGAATAAATAAAACATTAAAAAAAATTTTTTTTAAATTTTAAAAATATATTCTTGTATACTTTTTTCATAGCCTCAAAACGAGTAACTTTTAAAGAACCAGTTGTCAGAGATGAGATTTTCAGAAATCTAAAAAGACATGATCAAACTTTCTGTCTACTTCCCCAACCACATGAGAACAGATTTGTTTTTGTTTCAGTCAAAACTGAAAATTGATGATTTTAGCACACCTGCATTAGGGAGACGCAGCAGGAGGGACATCGGTCCAAGTGGAGCAGCAATGCTGCTTGTACTTTTAAGCTGAACACAAGTTTTGTTTTTTTTTTTAAATTATTTAATGTTTGTGTATTTTTTTTAATTTTTTTTATGTTTTATTTATTTCTAGTAGAGAGAGAGAGACAGCGTGAGCAGGGGAGGGTCAGAGAGAGAGGGAGTCACAGACTGAAACAGGCTCCGGGCTCTGAGCTGGCAGTCAGCACAGAGCCCCACGCGGGGCTCGAACCCACAAACCGCGAGATCATGACCTAAGCGAAAGTCGGACGCTTAACTGACTAAGCCATCCAGGCGCCCCAAGCTGAACACAAGTTTTAACTGTCACAAATTGTAGGGACTCCTGGGGGGCTCAGTCGGTTGGGTGTCCAGCTTCGGCTCAGGTCATGATCTCACGGTCTGTGGGTTCGAGCCCATGTCAGGCTCTGTGCTGGCAGCTCAGAGTCAGAGCCTAGAGCCTGCTTTGGATTCTGTGTCTCTCTCTCTCTCTCTCTCTCTCTCTCAAAAATAAATAAACATTAAAAAAATTTTTTAAAGAATTTCATTCCTTTTGAAGGCTGAATAGTATTCCATTTTATATGTATACTGCGTTCTGCTTATTCGTTCATCTGTCAGGGGCGTTTGGGCCGCTTGCCTGTTTGGGCTTGTGAGTAATGCTGCTGTGACTGCGGGCTCTTCCAGACCCTGCTTTCTGTTACTTCGGGCACATACTCAGAAGCAGAGCTGCTGGGTCCTGTGGCAGTTTGCCGTTTAAGCTTTTGAGAAGTTGCCGTGCCGTTTTCCACGGCAACTGCGCCGCGTTACGTTCCCACCAGCAGTGCACAGGGTCTTCCACACCCTTGCTAACACTTGTTTTTTCTGGCTCTGTTCTCTTGATAGTGGCAGCCTCGTGGGTGTGGTGTGGTACCTTGTTGTGGTTTGGGTTTGTATTTCCCCGATGGTTAGTGATGTTGAGCATCTTTTCACATATGCATTGGTCATTTGTATATTTCCTTTGGAGAAATGTCTGTTCAAGTCCCTTGCCCGTTTTTCAGTTGTGTTATATTTCTTTTTTTTTTTGAGTTGCTGGAGTGCCGGATATTAATCTCTATCAGTTTATGACCCAGATTGTCTTTCTACAGATGACCTGTTTGAACCAGGACCCAACATCGTCACACGATATCGTGTCTATTTTATTGCCTGATCTGGCAGAAACCCCTCCCTGTTGTTTCCTCGTCGCTGCTTGTGGCAGAATTCAGGTTCCTAGTCATGTAGATGTAGACTTATGGTTTTGTATTTTAACTTTGCCGCTTCCCTCCAAAATTTTCTGCTTTTCCCTTTCATAAAATTTCAGCTGTGAATTTTCCCTATTGAAAACTGAGGGGTAGGGCACCTGGTTGGCTCAATCAGTTAACTGTCTTTGGCTCAGGTCATGATCTCACAGTCTGTGCTGTCAGCGCAGAGCCCACTTCAGATCCTCTGTCTCCCTCTCTCTGTGTCCCTCCCCTGCTCTCTCTCTCTCTCTCTCTCAAAAGTAAGCATTAAAATGAGAGAGAGAGAGAGGGAGCTGAGTGGGGTGGGAGAGAAAGAGACAGAGGGAGACACAGAATCTGAAGCAGCTCCAGGTTCTGAGCTGTCAGCACAGAGCCCGACGTGGGGCTTGAACTCAAGAATCACAAGATCATGACTGACTGACCCACCCAGGTGCCCCTAAAAATGTTTTTTAAAGAGAAACGAGGATTTCTCTATCAACGGTTCCCAGAGCACTCAGCCCAGGTTGAGAAGAGGAAGCTTTCTGGCGTCTGCGAGCCGCCTGTGGGGAAGCGGGCACTGGTGGAAGAGATGTGGGAGCTGCGTGAGCATCGGACGGCCGTGAGGGACACGTTCAGGTCGCCAGCCTGGCCTGGGGGGTGCGGGCTCTTCCCGCGTCGTGACCGGTGTTCCCCGGAGCCCCCTGCGCCTCACGGCCAGGAGCCGCTCCGGAGACCGTCCCCAGCCGCGGGGGCCAGGGGGCAGATGGGCAGTGCGGCTCCGCTCCCCGGGGACACGGGAGGGAAGGTCTCGGGGCTGCGCGGAGTACGGGGGGCCTTTCTAGGAGTCCTGACGGCACGGGGGCCGGGGAGCCTCCGGTGAGCGGGCGCAGGGCCGCAGGGCCGCAGGGCGGCCGCTGAGAGAGGAGCTGCGGTCGCTGGCAATGTCTGCGCACTCTGGAAGATCGCTAGAGTCGTCTCTCGGATTAGAATTGTCTATCAGTGATTTTTAAAAATAATATATTTTCCAGGGCGCCTGGGGGGCCCAGTCATTTAACTGCCTGACTTCAGCTCAGGTCATGATCTCAGGGTTCAAGCCTGCCTCAGATTCTGCCTCCCTCGCTCTCTGCCCCTCCCCTGCTTGTGCTCTGTCTCTAAAATAAATAAACGTAAAAAAATAATACATTTTCCAAACTTTCTTGAGTGAACGGTAACAAAGTGACATTCTATTTAAAAATAGATCAGAAACAGGGCACCTGGCCAGCTCAGTTGGTAGAGCATGCAACCCTTGATCGTGGTCAGGGTTGTTGTTCAAGCCCCGCATTGGGTATAGAGGGGACTTAAAAATAAAATCTTTAAGAAAATAATAATAAGAGTAAAAATAGATCAAAACTTTCAGGGTTAACACAAATCGCTTAAGGACCGTTACCGGTAACTGAGTTCCCCAGGCATCTGTGGGCGGGGAGGGCAGTTCTCCAGACCCTCCTTGGAGCCTGGAAGAGCCAGGCCCGGACCCGAAAGCGGGGCCCCATCCAGGGAGGACCAAGTCTGGTGGAGGCGAGCAGTCTCCCTGGCGTCTGGGACCGAGGCCTCAGCCCTGGTGAGGCCCGGGACGTGCGAGCAGGCGCCCAGCCTTCCGGAAGCCCCTGCCGAGCAATCCCACCGGAACCTGCCCAGTGGGCCCGCTTCTCTGACCCGGGAGAGCTTTATCCCCAGTAAGCTGCTTCCAGCCCCCCAGACACAAATCAAAACTGCCGCTCCAAAAGTAGAGAAGCCTTTATTACACACCCGGGATACAGAGGAGAAGAAACACAGGCATGACTCTGTTCTCCCAAACTCTCACAATGCCTATAAAACAGGTAGGAAAGACACTCTCAAAAATTGTTTAAAAAATATTCCCCAATGTCAAAGTGGGGATAAGTGCATGAGGATCATGCAGGGAGGGGCCTCTGGTCCCCCACCCACCCCCAGGACCCTGAGGAAAGGCACCTTGCTCCAGCCTGGCTGCATATGGAGCAGAAAAGACACGTTTTCTATTCGATTTAGGGTCCTGCGGTCTGCCCTGGGACCGTGACGTTTTGTCCCCCCGAGAAGAGCTGGAAGGCGACTAGCCTACAAAAGCCCGGGGGCGGGAAGAACAGCTGGGTCTGCCGCTTACTGGCGAGGCCAGTTCAGGCAGCTCGCTCGCTCTCGTTTGGGCCGCGCTGAAGGCACGAAGGCTGGCATATCGGGTTCTGTCCAGAGTTTGGTTTTGATGAAGAGGGAAAAGAAGAGAAAAGGAACACACGTGGGCCCACCCTCCCTGGTTCTCGGGTGGGGAAACCGAGGCCTGAGGTGTCGGGTCAGAGGTGGCTCTGCCGGTGCCCTTCTTAGTCCTGGCTGGCTCTGGGTCCCACTGTCGCGGCCGGTGAGCCAGCAGGTGACACGCTCCTGGTCCGTGCGGGGCGGGAGGTGCGATGCCCAGATGCGCCATGTGTGTGGAGTGGGCGTCTCCAGGGACTGAGAGGCGAGTGGCGCACAGATTCCCCTACAGCAGGTGAAGCAGGGGCGGAGCCCAGGTGCAGGCGACAGGCAGCCGCCCCCCGCCCCCCCCACCCCGGGGCCCCGGGCGATCCTCAGGGCAGGGCCAGGGCCTTGGCCAGGCGCGTCCAGAACCAGGACTTGGTGCAAGGGTTGGTGTAGTCGCAGACGGTGATGAACCTCAGGATGCTGGGGAACTCCTTCTTCATCGCCTTGTACTTGATGGGGATCAGTCGCTTCTGATGGGCACCTGCCAGCCAAGAGGTTCAGAACCGGCACCGGGCCCTCACTCCACAGGCAGCGGGGTCTGTCCCCGGCCCACAGGCCTGCCCCCAACCCAGCACCCACGGCACCCACTCCCTCACACAGAGGGCCCCCGTGTGCACACACACTCAGGTGTGCAGAAGCCTACAGGAGTTCCTTGGTGCTGCAGGCATGGCCCTCGGTGAGGGACTGATGGCGTCCTGACGCCCCGCCCGCCCACTCCTCGGTGACAAAGGCAGAGGTGAGCTTACCAGGAGAGAGGCTGAGCGCAAACTTCGTCTGGAAGTCACATTCCTTGCTCTGCAGGTAATCATCAGAGACCACCACCACCATCCGGCGGCACCTAGGGGAGAGCGGCAGGCTGCAGGCACCGGGCCAGCGGGGGTCACCGGGGGATGGCCTCAGGAGGGGTCCACTGTGGTGCGACTGGACAGGGTCCAGCTGGGAGGATCTCAGCATCTGGGCCCCTCGGGCAGGCCTCTGTGCACCCGCCCACTGGCCCCCTGGCCCCCCGGCCCACCTCTTCTCAATGAGCTCGCTGGCGATGGACCAAACACAGGTGCCAGGGAGGACATCGCGGTCAGACACGCACAACTTCAGCCGATAGTCTGTCTGTTCCAGCTGCCGGATCATTTCCTGAACAAACTGGATATCGCTGGGGCAGTAGCAGATGAAGGCATCAAAACGCTCAGGCATTTGCCCTGGGTGCAGAGCACAAGGGTGACGTCAAAGCTCTACGGGGGGGGGGGACCCACCAAGAACCCCCAGCCCAGGTGACTCTGGTCCTGAACGCTCCACTGATCCCAAAATGACACGAAGAAGAGAGTGCCCTTCCCTGGAGGAAAGGTGAGTGTCCCCCCCCACCCCGCCCCCCGCCTCCCCACCCTGGCCCAAGCCGTGGGCTGACCCTAAGACAGACACATCATTTCATGAGTCTCACGCCAACTCAGAGGTAGGATTATTATTCCCATTTCCTAGGTGAGGAAAGTGAGAAATCAGAGGGATCGTGACTTGCCCAAAGGCGGGCCACAGCCCACCCGCTTTCAAAATCTATGATCTCAGCGCAGGACCTATGGCTCAGCTGTCACGCCCGCCGGGCGGAGCGCTACTGATCCTTACCCAAGGGGTCATCAAGCGTGGTGATGCCCGCCAGCTCGGACGTCCGTGGGTCACTGCTGTCGACGGCAGGCACCTGTAGGGGCTTCTCAGACTCCTCCTGCTGCTGCTTCAGAACATACTTCTGGCAATCCTCCTCTGTGGGGGCGAGACGGGGCGGGCGCTCCCGGGTTTGTCCCCGCCTCTGTCCACAGTCGGGACCCGGGTTTGTCCCCCGCCTCTGTCCACAGTCGGGACCCGGGTTTGTCCCCCGCCTCTGTCCACAGTCGGGACCCGGGTTTGTCCCCCGCCTCTGTCCACAGTCGGACCCACGCTCAGTCCTACAGCTGGGAGAAGCTGAGCCCCGGCTGGCTCTGACCCTCCCCCAGGGAGGGTGTTCTGGTCATCTGGGAAGTCATCGCAGTCAGGCCGTGTCCTGGCCCTCCCTCCGAGGACTCCTGCACCCAAGGTCTGCTGCTTCTAGGGCCCACCCTGCCGGGCGCGAGGGACTGGACCCCACTGGTGGGTATGTAAACGAGCCCCCAACCGGGCAAGGTGCAGCCGTCTGTGTTATGTGTCAGCCAGCGGCAGGAAGGGATGCGTTTCCCTGGGACCTGAGGTTCCAAGACGGGCAGCTTTCTGTCCCTCCCCTGCCCTGTGGCTCTACCTGAAGTCCTGACCCCGCGCCCCGTAGAGGACCCCGATTCTGACTCCTGGCCCTACGTGAAAACATTGCCCAAGATGTTTCCCTCTGCTGACTGCCTCTCCCGGCCTTCACCTGCTTTCCCCAGTCCCTGTCATCCCAGTGTCGAAAGAGGGAACCGGTCGCACTCGGCGGTGCCCCCTCCCCCGCCCCCCGCCCCCCGGCAGGCTGGCGACCGTCAGCGCCCCCCCACCCCGGACGAGGCCGGGAGCGCGTGTCCTCACCGATGCTGGGCCCCAGTTCCACCAGCACGTCGTCGCGGCCCAGCCCGGCGAGCAGCTCCAGCAGGCGGCCCACCGAGGCCCCGGGGCGCCCCTGCCAGGCGTCCAGGAGCCTGCCCGTGGGGTCGGCGTGCGCCTCCAGCTGCCGGATCTCCAAGTACTCGAAGCCCATCTCCTCGGCCAGCGCCCGCCAGTCGGCCGCCACCTGCGTGCGCACGTTCAGGAACAGCGACAGGCGGCGCCGCACCCGCACGTTGAGAGCCGCCAGGGGCAGCGAGGGCGCGGGGGGCGCGGGGGGCGCGGACCCCGCGCAGGCGCCTCCCGCAGCCATGACCGCGGCGCTGGGGCCTCGCGCGGCCGGCCGGCGCTTCCTCCTTCCCTTCCCGCCCCCCCCCGGCCCCGCCCCGCGGGTTTCTGTTTCCGAGAAGCGCCGCCCCGCCCTGCAGCCGGAGCCCCCACCCCGGGGTGGAGGCGGGGCGCCCCACCTCCGCCCTCGCGGGCTCGGGACCTGCCTGCGGAGGTGCGGGGCCCACAGACCTGTCCAGGGTCTGGGGCGGCGGCGGGGACACGACCCTCCTGTGGGAGTTGAAGGAAATAGAGGCCTTGCTCTTGGGGATCCACACCCTTTCCGCTGGGGATCTGAGGGGCTCAAATGTCACTGCCCTCGAGGATGGCGGGGAGGGGGCAGAGGAGGAGCCCTTCCCCCAACCCTGTCCCCGGATCTCCCAGGCTTGGGAGTGGGGGGGGGTCTCCAGCTGTACCCCCAGAGGGGAGGTGGGGAGGCTAGGCTACCCTTTGGGGTCTAGTGCATGCCGTGGCCCTGCCTTTGAAAGGTGGGAGACCATCCGGGGTGGAGGGACAGGGCACCCTGGCCTTTAGTGGCTGGGAGAAGCCCGGTACCACTCTCCGGGGTCTGGAGAAACATTACCAGTGGGAGTCAGGGGGCACCGGCCTTGCTCTCTAGGGCTGCGGGGGGCGGGAGGCTGGAACAGAGTCCTGACCTAAGGAGTTCTGGTCTTTCACTCATTCACTAGGAATTTATTGATCACCTACTAAGTGTCAAGCATGTTGCAGGCACCCCGGATACAGAGCGGCCCTCCTTGCCTTGGTGGCGACCTCACCCTAGTGCAGGAGGCGGGCGTTAATTAAATAAACCCAAACTGCTGTAAAATTGGTAAGAAATTACGGTAGTCTAGATGAGGAGCTTCTCGCATCTCGGTAACTTCATACAGCCTGTTCCCCTGCCGCACCAGGGCCCCAGTTCCTTCAGTGTTCTCGAAAGATCTCCCAGGAGAGCCCACGCACGTCGGGGTGGGGCTCTGGGGCGTGTCGACTTCAGGCCCCCAGCGTGGGTCCTGGGACCCCGGAGACAGACTCGGAAGGGGGAAGAAGGAAGGGTCCGCGCCTCCTCGCTTCCCGACCGGGAGCCGTGGGCGGGGCCTCTAATGGTCCAGCCTCGGGTTCGGTGGCCGGCAGTGGGCGGGGTTTCCCGGCCCGCGAGTCCGGCAGTGGGCGGGGTTTCCCGGCCCGCGAGTCCGGCAGTGGGCGGGGTTTCCCGGCCCGCGAGTCCGGCAGTGGGCGGAGTTTGCTTCAAGATCCCGAGAAGGCGCTCGGAGTCTTGCCTCGGGTTTGGCAGTAGGCGGTGCTGCAAGCCTGCAGTTCTGGGCGGGGCTTCGGAAGGGTCCACCTCCTGGTTGGCAGTCTTAGGCTACCGCAGGCGGGGCTTTAAGTGGAAAGACCCTATCGGCGTAACCCGAGAGCTCTGCTTTAGCTGGTTTGGTTAGAAGCGGGGACGGGGGCGGGACCTCGGGCAGACAGCCCTCTGGTTGGCTGAGGCCAGCGGCAGGCGGGGCCCTGGGGCGGGGCTGCGGGCCGTGTCGAGAGGTCCGGGCAGAGTGCGGCCCGGCGCCTTCGCGGGCGGCGGTGTGTCGGCTTCGGCGGCGTCCTGGGCTGGGGGAGGTCCGCCCCGCCGAGTCGCGCGATGCGGAGGTTGCAGGTAGTGCTCGGCCACCTGACGGGCAGCCCCGGGTCGCGTCGGGAGCCGGCGCCGCAGGCCGCGCCGTGCTGGAGCGGCGCTCGCCAGGCGTCGGCCGACGACGTGGTGGTGGTGCACGGGCGGCGCACCGCCATCGGCCGAGGGGGCCGCGGCGGCTTCAAGGTGAGGCCCGTGGGTCGGGGCGCCGCGTGGGAGCCCGCGGGCCGCAGCGCACCGGGGTCTGGCCCGGAGGCGGCCGTGCGTCTCTCGGCGGGACGGGAGAGCGGGGGTCCCGGGAGCCCTGTGCCTCGCGGGTGGGGACCACGGTGGCCGCGCTTCCCGCTGCAGGACACGACCCCCGACGAGCTGCTCTCGGCCGTCATGACCGCGGTGCTCCAGGACGTCCGGCTGAGCCCCTCGCTGCTGGGGGACATCTGCGTGGGTGAGCGCGCCGCGTGGGCCCTGGGCCGCGCCCCCCGCCCCCCGCCCACGCCCTCCGGGCCCTTCCGGGGGCTTTCACCGCGCGGACTGGCGCCCCTGGCAGTTGAATTGAATTGCTCCTTAAGGACTCCCGCCTCCAGGCACTTTCTGCCCCACCCCCACCCCACCCCGACCGCGAGTTCTGCCTGTTGAGTCTCAGAAAGCAGCGATCTCAGTGACATGCTAACACCCAAGCGCCGGGCGCAGGGATGTGCGGACCCCGTGGGACACGGAAGGCCAGGGTTCTGTACCCATCCTGACCGTGCCGCCCCCGAACGAGGGGCCATCAAAAACCGTGCAGTTCAGCCCGGGACAGTTTCAGCAGAGATCGCACTTGAATCCAGGGTGCGGTGACCCTTACCCTCCACCCCTACTCCTCCAGCCAGAAACAACGACAGGGCCAGAGTCCCAGGGCGCAGGCACCACCCCTAGGCGGGGAGTCGCTCTTCCACCTCCGACGCCAGCAGCGCTTGTCCGAGGACTCGCAGGGAGCTGGGCATTTTCGGAAGTTCACTTCCATGACTGACTAGACCAGTTTGATTACCGGCAAGCTTTGCATCGCGGTCTTCTTTCCAGGTTTCCTTCAAAGGCAGGCCCCAGGCCCCTGCGCACTGATTTGGAAAAGCGGGGTGCACAGGCAAGGGACCTGGTGGCCCTCGGTTCGGTTGATGGTATGATCAGGCCGGTGATCAGTGACTGGCTCCTTGAACTTCTAGGGCCTCAAGGGAACCTGCCGAGGGCTTGTGTTGCTAAAGAAAGATCTGGAACGTCCCCTTTCTAGTCCTCACAGCTGTACCTTCGTATCTAGAGTGCCGTCTGGCACTGAGTAAGGTCTGTCGTCCGCAGGAAATGTGCTGCAGCCGGGGGCCGGAGCGATCATGGCCCGAATCGCCCAGTTTCTGAGGTAAACTTGTCCAGTTGTAGCTGTGGGTTGTTTCTGACTGTCGAGTAGGCTCAGGCTGCAGGGGACGCGGCCTGTGCGTGGAAGAGGCTCCGGCTGGACGCCAGGCCTGGACGCGGTCTGAGCCCTTGGCACCCTGTTCTCGTGGACACCGCCTTCCCCTGCTTTGGCCCTGACTTATGTTTTGTTTGTTTTTTAAGTCGCGTATGCACTCAATGTGGGGCTCAAACTCACTACCCCAAGGTCAAGAGTTGCGTGCTCTACCTACTGAGCCAGCCAGGCGCCCCTCCTGTACTTCGGGTGAAGGATGCGTTCCTGGCTCTGAGCCAGGACAAGCCGTCTTTGGGGACAGACGGGCCCTGGAGATCCAAAGTCTGCTTGTGGCTTTGCCTTTTTTACGTGTGGACTCTGTCTGCTTTTCCAAGTGGACCCCCTGGGGTAGGGAAGGCACCCTGAAGAGTGGCTTTGAGCTGTTTACAGCTAGTTGGGCAGGCTGGCACCCCCCAAGGCTCGGCACATCCGCAGAGACCAGGGGACACGGCAGAACCTTGGAGCACGGGGTCTCCCGGGAGGGGCCCTGGTTAAACTTGCCCTTTACCACGTGCTGTTCTAAGACAGGAGAGGAGTGCTTCAGTCATTTTAATGTGTGGATTTAAGAACCACTTAACCTTGGGGCGCCTGGGTTGCTGAGCTGGTTAAGAGTCCAACTCTTGATTTCAGCTCAGGTCATGAGCTCTTAGTTCATGAGTCCAAGCCCCAAATCGGGCTCTGTGTTGACAGTGCGGAGCCTACCTGGGATTCCCTCTCTCTCTCTCTCTCTCTCTCTCTCTCTCACCCTCTCTCACCCTCTCACCCTCTGCCTCTGCCCTGCTTGCCCCCCCCCTCAAATAAAATAAACATAAAAAAAAAAAGAACCACTTACTACACTGTGCACTCGCAGCTGCCTGGAGAAGAACTAATAGGAACGTTAGCCGGTGGAGGAACGGAACTGACAGGCTGCCTAGCGTGAAGTTCAAGGACTCCCTGGCTCTGGCTCCAGACTCACCCTCCAGCCTGCTCTCCCAGCTGTCAGTTTGCCTTGACTTTCCCTCGTTCAGCCAGCCTGTCTGTCCCCCGTCTTCCCTGAGCTGGCGATCCTGCCCCCAGGTGTGCCGTCCCCATCTCCTCTCCGTGCACACGCCGTTCTGCCATCTTGGCCTGGCTTCCCTACGCTCGCAGGCTTCCGGAGGCCCCTTCCCCTCCAGCGGTAGCGGTGCGCCTCCCTGGGGTGCGCCTCCCTGGGGTGTGCTTTTCTGTGCGCCGGCGGGCGGCCTCTAGGGCATGTGAGGGTCCGACACGTGGTGCCTGGATGGAGGAGGTACTCTGTGAACACCTGTGCGTCGGGCCAGGAGGCGGTGACCAGGTAGGAGGGAGTCAGGACACCTGGGGAGGCCTGACCAGGCTGCGTGGGCTCGGAGGCTCCCGATCGGAGGCAGCAGAGCCTGGCCCGGCTCAGGGGTAACCAGTGCCGGCTGCACCAGGGTCACCCAGCATGTTCACCCCCTGAGGTCCTGAGTCCGGGGCTCTGAGGGGTGCCTGGGGTTCCCGCAGGGCTCTGTGCCCTGGGCCGGGCAGGATACGTGAGGAGGGGCGGCCCCGCCAGCTCCGAGGACTGGGACCAGTGCAGGGAACGCACCCGAACGGGAGGTCAGGGCGCTTGGTACCCGTCAGGGGTTCTTCGTGCAGCCGGGAACAGGCCTTCCAGACAGAATCGGAACAGAAACGGTTACTAGTGAGGCTGATGGCTTCTCACTTCATGCCTGAGACTTTTGTCTGTCTGTCTGTCTGGTTTTTGTTTTTGTTTTGCTTTGGTTCTTTGTCCCAGCAGTAGATCCCCTCCTCTGTTGCTGTTTCGGAGGAAACAGAAGTATAATTTTCCCTTCTTAATGTTCAAAGGGGGAGAGAGAAGGATCCCTGTGGCCCCATCAGCTTTCCTGGACTTTGGGCTGTTTTTGACCTTGGTTGAGGAGAGTCACGGAAAACGAGCATGTACTTACGGGGCCCTGGGGAGCAAGCGCCCGCAGAGGTGGGGTCTGCTCGGTACGGTTGTGCCTGCAGTGGGGACGGTTTGTTCCCCCGGTGTCTGCAACCCTTGGGGGGTGCAGTCCTGACCCGGAGCAGAGGCCTGCTTTCCATGACAGGGGGCTGACTGTGGCCTCACTTTCCGTTTCAGTGACATCCCAGAGACTGTGCCTTTGTCCACTGTCAACAGACAGTGTTCGTCCGGGCTCCAGGCAGTGGCCAACATAGCTGGTAAGTTGTGACAGGGTGGGTGCCCGCTGCTGTAGCCCGGCCTCGGCTCTGGCTCCACGGGTTTGGGTCGGCAAGGTCACCGTCTGCTGGGTGACAGCAGGGTCCCGAGAGGGCTCTCTGTGACCACACAGTGACGGACAGCCCCTCGCCGCAGCCCCCAGCCCTTTCTGGAGCGTGGGCCTTCCATCTCTGAGGCTGGGGCCGAGTCCTACATAGAGACCGGTGGGGAAGAGGCTCCTCTGTCCCCAGAACAGACGGACTCTGGAAAGGATGTTTATGAAATGCTTTTGTTGCAGGTGGCATCAGAAATGGGTCTTATGACATTGGCATGGCTTGTGGGTAAGAATCTCTTCTGCCAGAGCGTATTGACAACTTCTACCAGTAACACTAATCTATATCTCCGGGGTTCTCAGAGGCTCTGCTTACAGGGTCCCCCCAGCCCTTGGAGGCGGCTGGCTGGGGGAGTAGCTTCCCACACATCAGCCTGGAGGTGGCCCCAGGCTCTGGGTGCTCAGGAATCCTGCACCCCTCTCGGCACTAGTGGAGAAAGGGAATTGGCTTTTAAGAGCTTGCTTTCTTGGGAAACCTGGCAGGCTGGAAAATGCAATTGTTTTTGAGAAAACCTACAATTTCAGTTTCCTTCTGTGGCCCCTTTTTCATTTCTGGAGCTGTTGCGAGAAACCGTGCAGGGCTGGCTCCCTGAAGGCCGGGGCTGTCGCCCCTACAGCTAGTCTGTGTGTCCGAGTGCGCCGTCAGGCCCCTGGCCCCCCTCAAGGTGGACACGGGCAGCGGCCCCTGGGCTCCGAGGGCACAGTCTGCTGTAGCACGTGGGGCGCAGGAGCCATGCTGGGCAGGAGCCTCTGGCAGGGTAAGGGCCCCAGGGCCTGGCGAAGCCAGAGGGGGTTGGGGGGCTCTGGGAGGCGAGCAGCCCAGGGTTTGACATGCTCTCAGCCTTTGGTTTCCTCGTTGTAACAGTTCTTTTTTTTTTTTTTTTTTTAATATTTTTATTTATTTCTAGGAGAGAGAGAGAGACAGCGTGAGCAGGGGAGGGTCAGAGAGAGAGGGAGTCACAGACTGAAACAGGCTCCAGGCTCTGAGCTGGCAGTCAGCACAGAGCCCGACGCGGGGCCGGAACCCACGAACCACGAGATCATGACCTAAGCGAAAGTCGGACGCTTAACCGACTAAGCCACCCAGGCGCCCCTCCTCGTTGTAACATTTCTTGATTGGAGCGTGGTTAGGCCTCCTCGGGGCTGTGCCGCTTGGCCCTGGCTGGCTGGCGCTCTCCTGTCCACTTGCAAATAAAGCCAGAGGCCACTGGCCAGGCAAGGGCCACTGCCCATCCGCCCTTTGATTTCTCTCATGTTCCTCTGTCTTACTGGGGGAGGGAGGGGTGCGGGAAACTTGAGAAGGCTGGAGCCTAAGTGAGTTTTTTAGAGAGTGTCTGAGTCCCCAGGCAGGTTAAAGACTGTGTTTCTAGAGTAGTGAGGGTCTGGGCCAAGACTGTCCCCCAGCGGCTGATTGTGAGCAGTAGCCCGCGGTGTCCTGGTTGGGAGTGGGCTCTGGGGCCACAGACACCTGCATTTCTAAAGTTGGATCCGTGCTGAGTGACTGTGGACCAGTTACTCGCCTCTCCGGGCCTCAAGTGTACTCATCTCTACAATGGGGATGACTATCGCTGGCCTGTTGGAGTTGACAAGATTAAGTGGAGTAGTACCAGCAGCGGACACTCTGGGACGTATGTTCTGTGACTGATGCTGTCAAAGTGCTCTAGTATCTGAAAAGATTTTAAAATAGCACAGGGCGCGTGAACAGCACTCAGAGTTCTGGGTCGCCCTTGCGGCCGTGTTCTGCGTCTCAGGGGCGGGCTTTTTGGCTGCTCTGAGCGCTTGCCTTCTGAGCAGTCAGCGCCTCCCGGTCTGTGCAGGTCAGATGCTCTTTGATCTACGGCTTTTCAAATATTTGTCTCTCTGCCCTGGGAGCCTCTGGTGCCTGGGCTTCCGGCGGCGGCTCCCCTCCCGCGGCCAGCGCGAGGCGGTTCTCCTTGCGAGCTGCCGACTGACCGCCACAGGAGAGCGGTGGCGGGGAAGCTCAGCCCTGCCCTGCGGGGAGAGTGGGCGTGCAGGGCTCCGTCCTGGGGTGGGGGTGGGGGTGGGGTGACTCGGCAGCCCTGCACCCCCAGGGCCCTGCCCAGGGTTCCCACACAGCCCGCTGGATTTCCCAGCGCCCCTGGCCATTTCCCAGCACTCGCTGGTGCACAGGTAGCCCTGGGTGGGTCCCGAGAGTCGCCACGTTGTCCGCCGCCTCCTCAGGGTAGAGTCCATGTCCCTGGCCGACAGAGGGAACCCCGGGAATATCACGTCGCGCTTGGTGCAGAAGGAGAAGGCCAGAGACTGCCTGATTCCTATGGGGTGAGTGTGTCCCCACAGCCCGCTTCCCGTCCCGGCCTGGAGCGGGGGCGCAGGGACCTGGGCTTGTCCCAGGTGGGGACGTGGGGGTGGGACTGGCCCCCGACTTCCCCCCCTGAGGCCTCCCCGTCCTCTGTGCTCTGGGTGTCGACATGGCCCAGCCTGTCGTCCCCATGCCGAGTGTCGTCCCCACGCCGAGGGGCCGAGCTCCCGAGGGACGGCGGCAACTGCACGCCAAAGCCTTTTGGAGGCTTAGACCCTTGAAGCGGGAGGCTTTGAGTTGGGAGCCTGGGCCCTGTCGGATGCACGGCCCCTTAGCTCCACAGTCACTGAGGCGCTGGGCCACCCCCCTGGGTCCGTAGGCAGGGGGTCGTGGCTCCCCTGGATTTGAGGCTCGGCGGGGAGGGCAGTGCCCTGGCTTCCTCCACACCCAGCAACCGTCTCGCAGGGGAGCCCGTAACGCCCGAAGCCCAGGCTGGAAGGCCCAGCTGTGGCCCCGGGCCCCAGGACGAGGACTGGCTCCGACCACGGGTGTGGCCTTCCCCGGGGGTGTGGGGGCTTTCATTAGAGCACCTTCCTCGAGGCGCGGGAGGAGCTGACCAGGAGTGACCAGCGTCCCCCCGTTCCCTCATCTGCCCCTCCGCTGGGCTGGTCTCTGGTGAACAGGCTTCTCGGGGTCCAGCCAGCACCTCCGCCCCCCCCCCCGTGCCCCCACACCCCACTGGGTGCTGTTCGGTCTCCGTGGCCTGGACGAGCCTCCTGCTGTCCGCTGCCTGCGGCTGCAGGGACCCAGCCTGGGCCCCCGGCTGCTGGGCCACGACCCCACGGTGTCTTGGTTCCGTCTTAGGATAACTTCGGAGAACGTAGCTGAGCGGTTTGGCATTTCGCGGGAGAAGCAGGATACCTTCGCCCTGGCTTCGCAGCAAAAGTGAGTGCTGTTTGGGGTGGGCCGTCTGAGGGGCTGGATGGGGGGCCCGGGGCGGGGCCGGCCTTGGGCTACAGCTGGGCGTGAGGGTTTTCAAGCCGGGAAAGAGGTGGGCAGGGGCCACGCCCTCCGGCTGTCCGGCCAGCCCGCGTGTCTGCTCCCTGGCTGGGCTTGGTGCCCCCTCCCGTCGTGAGGGGCGTAACGGGGGCCAGGACTCCTCTCTCCTTGCCTGCGGCTCGGCGATTAGCCGCGGCAGCCCCGGCCGCTCGGGACAGCCTGGGCTATGGGGCCTGCGCTGCTGGGGCCCCGGCATGCCGGCTTCCGGACGAACCCAGGGGCTCAGGGCAGGGGCGGGCCGAGGTTGGTAAGTCCCGGATGCCCAGAGAGAATGGCAAGAGAAGGAAGTGGGCTTCTCTGAAGCAGTTACCTGGGGTCAAGTAACCACCTGAAAACTGGTGAAAAGTGTGGAATGTTCCCCGGAGAAACCCCTAGGCACTGGCATTTTGCATATGGTTGCAAGGATCGCCCCAGAACGCCTTGTGCTTTTGTGCTGTTTGGATCCTAAGATTCACTAAGCGCGTAGCATGTGTCGTCCTCAGTAGGTGGGAACTGGGGAGCGGATGGGCTCAAGCGGCCGGGATGGGCCCACGAGCCGCAGAGACCCGCACACACGTTCCCGGGGTTCCGTCCTCGGCTTGGCAGAGAGAGGGCAGGCTCACTCCCACGTGGGTGCAGGGCTCAAATGGGGGCCGCCACCTCTAGAGCTCCCCTTCCCCATCACGACTGCGGTTGGCTAGGCTCTGAAGACACGAGGCTGGCGGCAAAGGCCCCGGAAGGCCTCAGGCCTCCCGCTCCCGGGTGGGGGGGCCGGGCCACAGCCGTCCCTTAGAGCCCCCCTCTCCCACCCCCTGCGTGCAGGGCCTTGCATGTAGCAGCCTGAGCTTGGGTGCCTGTCCCCGTGGGCTGGGGCGGTGGAGGCAGGGGGAGGCACCCCTGGAAGGGAGGGGACCCCACGGGAGCCTGAGCCAGGCTGTCCATGGTGCTGCCAGGGCAGCCAGAGCCCAGAGCAAGGGCTGTTTCCGAGCTGAGATCGTGCCTGTGACCACCACGGTCCACGATGACAAGGGCACCGAGAGGAGCGTGACCGTGGCCCAGGATGAGGGCATCCGCCCCAACACCAGCATGGAGGGCCTGGCCAAACTGAAGCCTGCCTTCAAGACGGGCGGCTCTACCACAGCCGGTGAGACGGGCTGGGGGAGGGACTGGAGGGGCAGCCGCCTGGCAAGGTGTAGTCCGGGCGGGCGGCGGGGGAGGGGGTGAGGTATGTGGGAGGAGCTCCCCCCCCCAGGGCCTCCTACCCCCTGTGATTTGCCTCTAGGAAACTCTAGTCAGGTGAGCGATGGGGCCGCCGCCCTCCTGCTGGCCCGGAGATCCAAGGCTGAGGAGCTGGGCCTTCCCGTCCTTGGGGTCCTGAGGTCCTACGCGGTGGTGGGGGTCCCACCCGACATCATGGGCATCGGACCTGCCTATGCCATCCCTGTAGCTTTGCAGAAAGCAGGTGAGGCGGCTCCTTCACATCTGGATCCGACCCCTGCCTCTCATGCTGTTTTGGGGGGGGAGGTCATGTGGTTGCTGCGGGGGGGGGGGCTAGCCCCTTCCTGACCCCCCAGCCGGGACCCACCTGCCCCTGTGGGGCAGACACCCCAAGTAGCCTTCAGGTCACGGGTGGGATGGGGCCTGGGGGACACGGGGCAGCTCAGGTCTCTGCCCTTGTCCGCAGGGCTGACGGTGGAGGATGTGGACATCTTTGAGATCAACGAGGCCTTTGCAAGCCAGGTGAGCCTGCTTTCCCACGGCTGTCGCGCCCTGGGCAGCTGGGGGCGGGGCGCTAGCTGATGCCCCGCCTCCCTCCAGGCCGTCTACTGCGTGGAGAAGCTAGGACTTCCCCCCGAGAAGGTGAACCCTCTGGGGGGCGCCGTGGCCTTGGGCCACCCACTGGGCTGCACTGGAGCCCGACAGGTCATCACGCTGCTCAACGAGCTGAAGCGCCGGGGGAAGAGGTGAGTGTCCCATGGGGCGCCCCAGGCGGGGTGGCCGAGGGGACGCTGCGTGCACGTGCACTCTGCACTGAGGCCACAGGCCGTGAAGGCCGCTGGGCGTGGGCCGGGGTGGGCAGTCTGGGAACGGGGGGGGGGAAGGGGGGCTCGCTGGTGAGGCCTCTGCCTTCCCCCAGGGCGTACGGGGTGGTGTCCATGTGCATCGGCACCGGCATGGGGGCCGCCGCGGTCTTTGAGTACCCTGGAAACTGAGCGAGGCCCCAGCCAGAGGTGGCGGCAGCAGGTCGGGACCCGGGGCTGCTCCCTGCCAGGTCGCCGAGGCCGCCGTGTCCCCTGGGGGTGAGCTGCGCCCCAGACAGTAAACACGTGGTCTTCTCGAGGTGCTCGTGATTTTTCCCGGGGGCCACGGCCCGCTGAGTGCTCCTTCCTGCCCTTTACCCAGTGCGCGCGTCGCCTCCACCCCTGCCCGCAACTCCGTTCCTCCGCTCTGGGTGCTGGTTTATTTGCGCAGCTGGGGGCCGAGGGCAGAGCCTCAGGGCTGGGGGGCTGACGCGTATCTCTCGTCGTGCGAGCCTCGCCCGCGGAGCCGCAGGCTGCGAGCCTTCTCCCCGAGCACGCCTTCCACCACCAGCGTGGACTCGTACAGCGCGCTGCTCCTGGGGGGGCGGTCATGTCGGAAGGGGCTGGCCGGGGAGGGGTGGGGCTCGCTGGGGGGAGCAGGGCCCCGGCCTGTGGGCGGGGGTGGGAGGGGCCGCTACCTGGCGGTGAAGGAAACCCGGAGGGGGGTGGTCTTCGGGGGTGCGTTGGCCTGTCGCGCCTCCAGCAGCCCGCTGCTCGGGGACACCCCGAAGGCCGCAGGCTCCGTGTCGGGCTCCTGCCGGCCTGCACGGGAGGAAAGCACAGGCGGCTCCGTCCGCCGCCCCGGGGCCCCCCCACCCCCACCCCGCGTCAGGGCCACAGGGCAGGGCGGCCTGCAGGGGAGTGGTGGGCGGGTGCGACGCACCCAGCAGCACGGCCCAGTAGCTCCGACAGCCGCTCAGGTTCAGGAGGGAGACCTCCCGGACCCGTTCCTGGTTCACAAAGCAGGTCCCGAAGTCCACCCAGCTGGTGGAGAGCTGCAGCTGGGGCACGGCCACGGTGGCCTTCAGGGGCACCACCTAGGGGGACAGAGCCCGGGCCGTGGGCCCCGGGTGTGCGTCCGGAAGCTTCTGGGAAGCACAGGGGTCGCAGCACAGCTGTGGAGGGGCCCGCGCCGACACCCAAACCGGGGCCGGGGCCGTCCGTGCAGGTAAAGGGCCGGGAAGGCACCAGCTCTCTCCCCGCCACCCCACTCCCCCTGCCCCGGTCAAGCTGTTTTCTGCTCCCTGGTCAGGCGGTCCTCCTCCGTCCGGTGGGGGCCCCAAGGCCCAGCCCGTCGCCCCTCCCGGGCCCCTCTCCCCCGCAGTCCCCCATCCCCTCCCGTGCTGCCGCGCACTCATCGCTTCCGCCTTCCTGGCCCTGGGGTCCTGCCTGGAACCCGCCCCCTGGACTCTTCCTTTTTGTCCCTCACCGGCATCTCCCAGCCCCCAGCGCCCCCAGCGCCCCCCAGCGCCCCCTGGTGCTGAGCTGAGCTGAGTCGGGAGTAAGGATGACCTTTATTTCTCCGCGTGACTCGGGGCAAGGCGTCTTCCAGGGCACACTGGGCCCTCAGGGTGAGGGCCGGGCTCCGCTCCTTTCTGGGGGGGGGGGGAGGGAGGGGGTCCGGCCTCCTCTGACGCCCCCCCAGGCGGGCAGGCCCAGGGCTCACCTGAGTGGTCCGGTTGGCGTGCTCCAGGATCAGGCTCTGCGTGAACACCATCTCCTTCTCCCCGCCGGCGTGCTGCTGGATGTCCACCCCGGGCAGCATCTGCTCAGCCGGCAGCTTCTGGTAGGAGAGCAGCTCCAGGGACAGCGAGAAGGACACGCCCACCTGAGCGGACGCGAACAAGGCTGGCCTCGCGCCGCTGAAGGCGGGCTCCCCACCCGGAGGCCCGGCCTCCTTGCTTCCGCGGCCCGGCCGTGGGGCCTCCCTCCCCCCGGCGCCCCTGCCTGAGGCGCTCGGTGCACAGACGCCGCACCCTGCTCCGTGCCCGGCACCCGTCAGCAGCAGTAGCCGAGGACCCAGAGGGCACACGACAGGCAAACCTCCCTTTACCCCCTGGCGTGAGCGGGGCCGTCAGCCTGGCGCTGCCCGGGTCCTCCTCCTGAGCACAGAGAGGAGCCTCTGACGGGCTGTAAGCGGGGGTGTCGGAGGTCACTGGCTGCTGTGGGGACGTGAGTCAAGGCCAAGGTGTAGCTTAGTCCAGTAGGACGGGGGGTGCGGGGTTCCCCAGTTCTGTGGGACTGGCTCCATACAGTCAACTGAGGCTCTTTCTCAAAAGTACATTCCTGGGCCTCAGCCTGAACCTTCTCCTCGCTGGAGGTGGGGCCTGTGAACTTGTGTTTCCAACAAGCTTTCTAAAGGCCACGGCTGGGGGCGCCTGGGAGTCTCAGGTCATGATCTCACAGTCCGTGGGTTCGAGCCCTGTGTCTGGCTCTGTGCTGACAGCTTCTCCCTCTCTCTAACCCTCTCCGGCTCATGCTGTTTCTCTCTCGCTCTCTCAGAAATAAATTAAAAAATTTTTAAAAACTTTAAAAAATAGGGGCGCCTGGGTGGCTTAGTCGGTTAAGCGTCCGACTTTCGCTCAGGTCATGATCTCGCCGTTCGTGGGTTCCGGCCCCGCGTCGGGCTCTGTGCTGACTGCCAGCTCGGAGCCTGGAGCCTGTTTCAGTCTGTGACTCCCTCTCTCTCTGACCCTCCCCTGCTCAGCTGTCTCTCTCTCTCTCTCTCTCCTAGAAACAAATAAAAATATTAAAAAA